ATTGCATTTAAATTATTGGCTTGCATTCTTCTACAAAAAGGTTAGTCTATGTCAAAATGTCGGTCCTCTCGTTACAGTTTGCAATTGTGGCTGTACAATTCCAGAATAGAAGAACAGACGATTTCTGCTCTGGTTTCTTATTGTCATTTTTTAAAATAAATAAATAAATAAAATAACAATGGTAAACATTTGCGCAGCCCAAGTCTAGGCACGTTTACTCCTACCAAGTTCAGTACAGAGCATTGCAAGGATTGCAGCCTTAAAGATCCTAGGGAGAAACTTTTTAAAGACGTAGCAAAAATTCTTCCTACAGATCAGCACAAGACACAGGATGACCTTTCATCGTAAAGTTAATTTCCAGGACAGTAGGGCTGTTGTATAATTAGAGCTAGGCTTGACCTATAAAGGTCAGCCTTGGTTCTTGCCTTCCCAAATCCAGTGGAATTTTTATAGCCAAGTGTTTGGACCCAGCCTTCCAGAATCACAGACTTCCTTTGTCCAGCATGTATCAATCTGTTGTGTCTGTCAATGAAAGGAGCAGATTATCCATATCTCTTCTCTAAGTGCCTTCGAAGTATGCGGTTCCCCCTGCCATTCTCCCCGGGGCCACAGCTTTCATTTGTGAAGGAGTAATCAATAAAATAGGACTGCATCTGCCTCTGGTGGGGGAAACACCAAACAGACACCAGCCAGTCTGGAATCAGCTGTTTCCTTCCCTTTGATCTAGCGCAACAAGGCTGTTGAAAACCCCCAGAGGGCTGCGTCTCCGTCTCCCATGCTGTCCAGTCATGCTGATAAGTCCACCAAGGCCCATTGTGGCATTGTGTTTGTGGAAGGAATCACCTATCGCACTGAAAGGCTGCAACCTTCTCTTTCCAGCAGGAGGCCCTTTGATGTGGCATAATGGTAATTAGAGTCTAATTGAGTGATTAACAACCCAGAATGCTCATCGCTTTCATGGCATAATCCATATTGCAAGGGACTCCTCTCACATGCCACTTCAGGGCATGTGTAAGGCATCCTGTTTCTCAGCAGGACACACACAAAAAATGGGTCTTTTCCTTTGGTTTGCTCTTTTCCCTTGCTGTTTCCTCCTTCCAAGGAATACAGCCAATATTTTTGCAGGCACTTTCAGAAGAAACGGACTATGGAAGTTGTATAGATGCCTTTTACTACTCTACCCAGAACCAGTCATCGTCCGTTGGTTTGCCATGCTGTATTTACACAAATATATTGTGCTCAAAGCAGTTCAGAGGACTGACAATTCCCGCAACCTGAGTAATAATGCATTAAAATGTAGCATTACCAGTTCAACAATTAAAGGTACAGCATATCAAAAGTTTGGATGAATATGTAGAGATGGCAAAACTTCTGGTTCTGATAAGAGACACAAGTTTAGAATATTTCAAGTAGGACTGGAAACCTTTTCTAGTCTTTTAAAAAAACGTAACTTCTCATGTGCAAAGTCCACCGCGGGGTTTGAGGTCTAAGAAGAAAAACAGCAGAACATAGTAAGAAATGTGTTTAAAAGGATGAAACTGGTTATGATGGGTTTTTAAAAACTCATTTGTATGTAATTGTAATTATAGACATTGAGGACAGGGGACCAGGAAGTCATTAATATTGTAGAATAGGATTATAACTGTTGAGTGATATAGTGTAACATTCTCTCCTTAGTGAAGTCTTGTCAGACCCCTTTCTTTCCCCAGGGCTACAACAGTTTAACAAGAAGGTACAGCAACTTGGCCTGTCAATGGAACTTTTGCGATTGATGCCCACACCATCTGCCAAGCCTATAATAAAAACTAGGTTATGGGACATTGAATGCCAAGAACTAACAGCAACAGCAGAGAAAACATGTTCCCCTCTTTATTTTCAACTTTCTTAGGCACATGAAACTAATTATAACTATCTTGAATTTCTGCTTATCCCCCAAGAAAGAAGGGCATTTTCACTAGCCAGGTTTAATTCAAACCCATCAAACCTCCTTTGGGGTAGGTTCTCGGGAATGGTGGAAGGAGAAAGAATTTGCCCATGTGAAGACCACCTGCTGGAAACTCTTACTCATATGGTTCTTAAATGTAAACTATATGCTGATCTCTGCCAGCAGTTTCTAGATCAATTCTGCATCCCCAAATGGAAATCAGAGTTGGAGGTCATACATTTTCTATTACTGGGGAATGATCAGGAGCTCACCAAATTAGTGGCTAAATATCTTTATTTGGTTTTTGTCGCAGAAACACATTGCAGACGTCTGATCTCCCTGGAGACCTAGAGATGTAACGTTAGACTTTTTTACCTCTTTTCATTTGACAAATGTTCTGTGACATTGGGGAGGTGGTAATTCTGTATTGATTTACTATGGATGTTTGTTTGTGATGCCAATAATAATAATATAATAATTTATTATGTATACCTAGCCACTCTGGGCAGCTTCCAAATGAATATTAAAAACAATACAGCATCAGACATTAAAAACTTCCCTAAGCAGGGCTGCCTTCAGATGTCTTCTAAATGTCAGGTAGTTGTTTATCTCTTTGACATCTGATGGGAGGGCATTCCACAGGGCAGGCGCCACTACCGAGAAGGCCCTCTTCCTGGTTACCTGTAACCTCACTTCTCGCAGAGAGGGAACCGCCAGAAGGCCCTCAGAGCTGGACCTCAGTGTCCAGGATCGATGATGGGGGTACTTTGATGATGATGATGATATAGTGCAACTTTGAATCTTGAAATAAAGTAAGATATTAAAAGTGAAAAAAAGTTTAAATGAGCATTACATAATATTAGCATTGTAGCCACATTCAGGAATTCATTCAACAGTTCACAATTAAGGGAGCTAGAGATAAGATGCACCGCCCACATCAAACAAGCAGAAAAAGAGGAAAATGCAAGGCAGAGTAGATGAAATTTCAGAGAGCCCACCCTCAGTCAATTGAAATTGGTCCTCCTCTCACCAGGACCCCATGTCCGATGTCATGAAAGAGCAAAGAGAATACAAAGTGTGTATTTGGGAAGGAGGCGGACAGTGGTGTATTTGAGAAGGGAGCTAGACCTGCTGTCTCTTTCTGTTCTAATTTGACCCTTACACCATTGCACTTCGACAATGGGTTGTATCCTGATCTAAGGTGGGTCGCCCTTAATACAGATTTAGTATAGCAGGGTTGTAATTTATGTGACTGAGGGTCCCCTGTCTTGGTATATTGGGTAAACCCAGAGAGACAATTTCCCTTAAAGCCATGACAGTTGTGGTGTTTGATCATACATGCCAGTTCCTAGGGGCTGAAGCAGCTTAGGACACCCCTCTCTTTGTTTTTTAGGGGGGCAGGCCCCCAATGTTCAGAGGGCATTAGGCTCCACCCCCAGCTCCTCGCAACATCATGTGTGCAACATCAAGACACCACACGACATTGTGCGCATGACGCTAGGGCATCATGTCGGGCCCCTTCGATCACCTTGAGAAGATAGTGCCTCTGTGTGTGGCTTTAAATGGGGAAAAGGGGTTTGTTGTTGTTGTGCATGTGGGACTGAGCAGATGATAAATACAAACTGCATGTTGGGAAGTGTGCAGAATGATGTAATGCATGTTGCAGAGCTTGCTGCTTGTTACAGTATTCAGCTCCCCTTTTTATTCTTTAATTTCTGCTTTTATATTGTTATCATTGGACTTCTGAGGGTTTTTGCTTTGTTTTAATACCCTCCCCCTCCCTTTCACGTGATGACCTGAGAACATTTGCTATTGGGTGCCTAAATAAATAGTCCGGGAAATTCTGATCCAAAACTCTGTTCAGCCATGCAAGATCTTTGGGTGGCCTTGGTCAACTTGAGTCATGGTTTGTCAGCCTAACCTGCCACCCACGGGGTTTGTGGGGAAGGGATAACTGAGATAAGAATTGTAAAGTGCTACAGAAATGATAAATAACAATGAAATATGGTGGCTGCATAATTCTCAATAAACAGAGTGCCCTGCTTGTCTGTACATATTTCATAAGCAGCTATTTTACCATTAGCTATTTTACCCAGAATAACAGCATGGGTCAAAACTCACAACCCCTTCACCAACTTGTCAGAGAAAACATATTTAAAAGGCTCTGGTGAAGAAGGCCTGCTTCATGTAGCCACCAATGTAAAATTGTGTGTGTGGCTTCAACTTGTTTGGCACAGGAAAGTCTAGAGTAACTTGAGAAGTCATTACGAGAGAAGTACAGGCCTCTTGCCATCCTCTAATGGCTTTCTTACAGCTCAAAATGCAAAATTTACAAGGAAAGTCTTAAAGGAAATGACAGGAAAATCTCAGAAGATAACAGAATTGGACAGGAAGATTAATGGAGACCTTGGATTTTTCTAATCCGCAGTGATTAATAACTTGGCATTTCAAGATCCTTCATTTCCATTGGAGTCAGGAAAGGATCAGCTCCAGATTCTAGTGCTTAAATCAAGGCAAAGCCCACTTTGCGCAGCCCAGTTGGCCTTAAAAGCTCTCCACTCAGATGAAGTTGTATTTAGCTGGGATGGTAGGAAATGCCATCTGTGCCATGAAGACATAACTTTCTCCATCTGGGTAAATCTATATAAGACTCCACAATTATTTGCTTTTGACTGCTTTTTTCCAAAGCTGAATTGGGGTTGTCAAAGACAGGGGCAATAATTCAAAAACAGGTAAGCTCTCACTGGAACCAAGTTGCCCAATCAATTTGAGCACAGGCCCCCTTCAAACAGGGCCTGGTTCAAATTGGGGCTATCAGCCAGCTCCATTGCTTCCTTGCCCTTCCTCAAAGTCCCCTTCCTTCCCAAATAATAAAGCCTTGTTGTAGCAAATTTGGATGGTTCTCCTCAATGCAGAAGAGGTACTATGGAACCATGCATGGTCTTTTCCAGGAATCATGGGGAGAGACTACAATCCCTCTGAAACCTGGCAGGAAATCAATCATCTGTTGCCAGTGAGATATCCTGCAAGACCTTCTCCTTGGCAACAACTTATTCATGAGTATTATTATTATTAGGGATAGCTCAACCAGTTGAGCATGGGACTCATAACCTCAGGATTGTGAGTTCGAGCCCCACGTTGGGCAAAATATTTCTGCATTGCAGGGAGTTGGAGTAGATGACCCCTTGTGTGGTCCCTTTCAATTCTAAAATTCTATGATTCTATTAGTGATAGAAAAATTATTATCATCATCATCATAAAAATTAAAATCAGCATTTTATAACCTTAATATCTATAATATCTATCCACTCTATAGCAGTAGTAGAAAAATGAATAATAGAATGTGGAAGGGTAGCTGGTTGTAGACTAAATAAAGGAGAGGACAATAAATTATTATTTTAGTATTTTTATTATTTATTAATAAATAATAATATAATCACCATCATCATTATTTTGACTTTTACTGCTTCTGTTGTTATTATCATCCCACCTTTTTGACCAAAATAATAGCTGCCCAAAGATGCACACAATCTCTCAAATCAGCCCACCTAACTCCTGTTGTGCAGGTAATATGGGGCAGGCCCTAATGAAATAGTTCAGCTTTAAAATGCCTGTAAATTCATTTTAAAGGTACACACCAGTTACTAAAATCACCATTCTAAATTTTCTGGCTTCTAGCAAGTATCTGGTATTGCAGTATTAATTGATGCCTGTCTTCTGGGCAATATCATTGCTGGAGGGAATAATAGGGGTGGCCAGACCCCTATAATTCCTTCTGATAGATGGGATGTGCAAAGACGTTTTTTTGGAATCGCACTGTGAGATAATTCTTCGGAGGAGGGCTATGGAGCTATCAAGAGGGTGCGGTGCGGGGGGAAAGGGTTAAGCACCCACCCACACCCCGGCTGCTTCTCAGCTTTTAAGTTGCCCTTTTACTGGTGAAGAAGTGCTATTGGCCTTTGGTTATATGTGTGTGGTGTGCATATAGCCTTTAGGCTTAATCACAGAGGCCAGGGTAAACCAAAGAAGGGCAATTAGGGGCATGAGTCATCATTGTAACCATATTTGATTGCAAGACCATGCTACATTTTGGCATGATGGAAACTGCATCCCCCCCCCCGCAGCAAAAGTCTCCCCTCCCATCCAACACGCCATCCCCCTCACCCCATCGCCCACCCCAAAGCTCAGTTCCGTTGGCAGATTTAGAAGGCAGTTTCATTTACATCCGCACAGCCATTTCTAAGCAAAGTACTAGCCAGACAGCTAATAAACTTGAAAAATTATGTCGCTCCATAGCTTTTTTAAAAAAAATAAAAAATAAAAATAAAGTGGAGACTTACTTGTTTTAGGAAAAAATGGTGAATGCTTTTTTGACATGGTAGCTTAATGGACTCATTAGCCTAATAGGAGTGTGTGTGAATATATATATATATATATAACTCCTGGGAGTCCTGGTTAAAATACTAGCTTTTTGTAAAAGGTCATTTCAGCACATTGAGCCAGCAGGTAATTTTCCTTTCAATTTGGCTACAACAGATGGCACAAAGTCAGAAATAAAGTGGTCCACGCAGCTCTATAATAGTTATCTGAAGTGAACTACCTGAGCAGAAGCCGTTTTCTGGGCAACAACACATCTATCACGAGGGATTTCTCCTGTGCAAGAACACTTGAAACTAGCGGGAGCTCTTGCGCAAGGTCACATTTGTGCTATTGTTTAATACATGGTCTGTTCAAAGCCTAGGAGAGAAGGGCAGAGGAGATTGTCATTGAAATATAACCTTAGCTTGCTTCGATGGACAGCAATCAGGCCGAAATTATTTATTCCAATGGAGCAGGACTGGGCAGAACATCTGATTTCTGCTCCTCCGTGTCATATCTCTTATGGTCAATTTGTCATATGTTTTGCAATTTGTTTGCTTCTTAAATAATAAATAAATAAATAAATAAATAAATAAATAGATAGATAGATAAATAAATAAATAAATAAATATACAAACACACATTTTGAATGACCCTCCCTCCTTAAATATGCATTGTTTTATGCTTCCGAAGGCACTGCCTCTAAAATCAGCATTTTGCGCACATTTTCTGTAAAATACGCTTGCAGGTGAGCATCTTTTAAAACCAAAACTGCATCACAAAACTTGGGAAAGTATGTAATCTCATTGGCAGCTGTGTTTCAATCCACACAGAATAGAATCGCAGAATCACAGAATTGTAGAGTTGGAAGGGGCCACGAGGGTCATCTAGGTGAAGCCCCTGCAATGCAGGAATCTTTTGTCCAATATGGGGCTTGAACCCACAACATGAGATTAAGAGTCTACCAACTGAGCTATCCCGGGGTGCTCCGATACAGTAAATCGGGTCTATTTGCTTTAAAATACAGAGCAAAGGAATTACCGCATTTTTCGCTCTATAAGACGCACTTTCCCCCTCCTAAAAAGTAAGGGGAAATGTGTGTGCGTCTTATGGAGCGAATGCAGGCTGCACAGCTATCCCAGAAGCCAGAACAGCAAGAGGGAGCACTGCGCAGCACTCCCTCTCGCTGTTCTAGCTTCTGGCTTAGCCGCGCGAAGCCTCCGCAGGGCAGCGGGGAGCCTTCATCCCGCTGCCCTGTGGAGGCTTCGCACGGCTATCCCTGGCTTTTGCGGGAGGCGGGGGAATGGACAGAGCGCACGGCTCTGTCCCTTCCCCCACCTCCCAGAAAAGCCCCCAAGAGCCGTGCTCCCTTTAAGGAGCGCATGGCTCTTGCGGGAGGTGGGGGAGGGAAGCCAGGAGGCTTGCTTTCGCTGAAGCCAGGAGGGCAAGAGGGATCGGTACACACTGATCCCGATTGCTCTCCTGGCTTCAGGGATAGCCCCGCACAGCCTCCTGAGTGAAAAGGGAGGAGCGCTCCCTCTTCGCGCAGGAGGCTTTGCATTGCTTTCTTATGTCTTGTTTTCCTCCCCTAAAAACTAGGTGCGTCTTATGGTCCAGTGCGTCTAATAGAGCGAAAAATATGGTATGAATAAAGACATCTTGCATGTGACATGACGCATCCTGAGACAGTGAATAAATGTAATTTATGTGTGCATCACTCACATACAGAAAGACAGAGGTGACGTTTTGTGAGCCTCTTTGTAAGATGCCCGCAATGTTTCTGGCAGGTATTAATATTGTGCAGTTTGAAGCAACTGGATACATGAAAACTGACCCCTTTTGCAAATGAAGCATTGTCCAGACCCATGAAAATATTTTTCAAACTAACTAGAAGAACTCTTCTAAATAAAACAGAAACATCAAATGATTCACCCTGCAATGTCTTGTGCTGTCCAGCAAAGACTTAGCATCTTACAAAATATGGAATAATTCCAAGAATCCCAATCGTCTCTCTCTCTCCCCGCCCCCCCGATTCCAGCCTGCCTTAGCCTGCCTAAGGCTAAACAGCTTCTTAGAGAGCCATCATCACATGCTTTTGTTCTGTGTCACCTTCAGAGGAAGACCAACAGCCACCACCCTTTCTAGATGGTGAATTTGCAACCCAATACCTTTGTCACCTGATCTAAGGTTACAACAACAGGTCGATCGTGATCTACCAGTAGATCACTGGACATCTGTGGTAGATCACGGTAGATCTCCCCAACAACAACTTTGCCTGTCAATAACAATGGGTAGATCACAGCCAGTATTTTTATAATGTGAGTAGATCACAGTCTGTAATACACATTTAGCCATTTTCCATTTTAAACCTTCATTAATACACATCCTTTTTTCATTTCTGTGTGAATTAAACAATTAACAATGTCACCCACTTCCTGTATGTGTGGTGCTAGATTGAAATGTAGGCTGAGATGTGTCATCTGGAGGATGATGAACACCCCTCCCCTTTAGCTTCACATCTATTGTGGCATCTGAATGGTGATGCTCCATTCTCACTCCTGATGCTACAACCTGGCCTTATTCTCCTTTGTCATCAAGCAGGCATTTTGGACACTCAGCACTGCCACCCTTTAAGCCCCCAGTCATCTTTCAAGGTGATGTATCTCCTCACAGAAGGAGAGCAGTCAGTAGTTTGGAAAATGCATGTTCTGCAAAGCTCTGCCCTTCATCTAAATATGTCTTTAAAAAATAAACCCATAACTCAGACATACATGCTGTTTATTTTTGAACACAAGGTTTTGTCAGGGAGTGGGCAGGCCAGCCATTACACTTTGACAGGGAAATGTTTACTCAAAGAGTTAACGCAGATGAGTAATCTTGCATTCGACTGCCAGTTCTCGGGCGGTGGGATTCCAGTAAACAGACAGACACTTTGAACTCTGGGTTTTCACTTTATGTCACACACTAACCACTAAAACAACACGCCGGCATGGAGTTCTTCCCCATTTAAAACCAAAAACATAAACTCAGCCATGGAAATTTGTGCTGGGAGTATCTTTCAGGAGAAATCTCCCCTTCATCACATACTTTCTAATTTGCCACTGTCTTGAAACATGCAACGAAGCGTTACTCGCCGCTCATTAAATGGTCTCTTCTTACATACAAAGCCTTTACTTACAACATCCTTATGTAGCAAGGGAGGGGAAAGGAGCTTTAAAGATGTTTATGCTTATAAGGTCACTAAGGATGTGAACACCTATGTTCTAACTGCCCTGATTTTGAGAGAGAGAGAGAGTCCCTCCCTCTGCTATTCATGGATTAACACTTTTGATACTAACTGCATCTTCATGTGGCTATGGGCTCATCTCAAACAACGAGTGCGCGAAAGGGCAATTTGCTCTACCAAGTGGACCCACATCAACCTCTGCAGCCCAGAAGAAAGTGAAGATGCGTTTGAGTGCAAGTCCAGTTTACATTTCTAGATATTTATTCTTTTTTAAAATGTCAGTTGCTTAGAGAAACCCAGAGAATGCTAGATACTGATGAAAATGAAACCAGAACCACTTACTAAAAGTGCTGCAGTCTTTCAGAACAAGTTCAAGGTGTTAGTATAAAAAGCCCTTAACAGCCTGGGAACAGTTTACTTGCCTTACTCCACTTGACTGCTTCAATCTGCAGAACTGGCACTCTGCAGATAATACTCATTCTGCACTTGTAAGAAACGAATCATTTTTTGCGGCAGCTTTAGAACTCCCTGCCTTTTGACATCACAAAGGCACACTTGCT